AAGCTTACGATATGCTGCTGTCAAGTTATTGCATATTTTCCAGGACAATATGCTGTGCTGCATTCTGAACTCTATCCTTGGAATGGAAAGAGTTCTTTTTCAATATAAATAAATATAAATATATATATATATATATATATATTATAACAAGCTCATGTCTAATATTTATTAATTTCTAAATTACATTTATACAATTGTGCAAAGCGCATGTAAAGAGATATATATTCAAGAATAAAATAAAAAAATTGATAAGTTAAAACTACTTTGGGATTATTGCCTTCTTTTTTATAAAGGAAACCAGTATTCCATCGAGTATGCTAATGTTATTAAAGAAAATAAAAAAAAAATAAAAGAAATGGTTTTGTACTATATTGAAAAGAATAATTGTGATATTTCATAGTGAATACATATTCTGTTTTTTGAATTCCCCTTTTGATAATAGTCTAGAGAAGCTTTTACTAAGTTTTTATAGAAATAAGAAAAAAATACTAGAAGAGCACAATCACTAAAAGTTTCCTGTTCACTAGTGGAACTAGATAGTATAGCGATCAAAAGTATAACTCAAGAAACCCAAGATCTGATAAATGGTCAAATAGAAAAATGGAACACGTATTAATAGAAAACTGGGAACAAGAAATACTTAGAGACAATATTAAGTAAGGAATATATCAAGATCACCTACTTGAAATCCTCCAACGTAATCAAGAATCACAGGAGAAACTGACCTTCTATTCCGACGGATCCTTAATCAATCATGGAAGTGAGAATACAAAAATAGGTGCAGCATGGATACTAACAAAAGAAGCTGGAAAAGGAAGTAAATTCCAGACAGGAGTCAAAAACTGGCTCTTATCCACAATGCAGAACTGGTAGTACTAGTTACAATAGCTTTAGTAGCTCCGATAGACAGTACTGTTGAGATTTTCACAGATAGTCAAGTTTGCATCTCTAAATGGAAAAAACTAGAGAAAGAAGATCCAAAAATGATACACAAAAGATGGATAAAAGAAAAAAATTGGTCATTATGGGCGAGAATGCTAAATCTCGTAAAGAAAAAGCATATCCAATTAATTTTGATCAAGATTAAAGCCCACTCTAATAATCCATGGAATGAAGAAGCAGACCGACTGGCCAAAGAGACATTAAAGCTACCAGCAATAGAATGGAAGAGTCTCAAATCAAGCAAGCTACTCACAGAAACTATGTGGCAAGAAGAAGTAGTAGAAAATTCAATATGTCAGTTCATCAAGCAAATTAATAAAAGGTCAACAACTCTATTATAGACACAGCAACACAGAACAGAAACAAAATGGCTTCACTAAGTTCACAAGTATCAAACCTACTCATGGAATCTGGCATGGGATAGGATAAAAGATGGAAATACATGGGATACCTCCTTCAAAAGCTCACAGAAAAGAAGTTTCCTGATTAAATTGACCAATGATGAACTACCTACTTTAAACAAGCTAGTAATAAGAAGACCAGATTTATACCTGCGAACAATATATATAGCATATAATCAATATCAATAAACAATAGAACACTTATTAAAATGCCCTGGTCATAAGATTGAGATTCTGGCAGTATGGCAAAAAGGATCGGAGACTTTTCTCAAAGAATTCGATAAGTTGTATCAAAAACATAAAAAAGAAGCAGATGAAAAAATGGTACAACTAGCAGTTGACAATAGACAAGAAAAAGGCGAATTAGATAAATGGGTCTTCAGACTAATAGAATTAGCCTTGCAAACCGGTTCAAGCACTCTTAACTTTTGTGCAGGATTAGTAGAAAGCAATGTAATCGGAGAAGCTGCTAATCTAAACTGTTATGGAAAGAAGCTAGGAACAATGGCAAAAAAATAGATTCTAAAAGTACAAAAGAAGGTTTACAATCAGATCTAAAACAAGTTTGAAATGTGAGATGTGAAAAGATCATTTAATGGGAACAAGAACAAAGAATTGATGAAAGAGCAAAATATAAGAAGGCCCAGGAAGCAAGAAGGCAAGATCTGCAAGATAATCCTGGTTATACAAGTATAAGACAAAGAGAAGAAGTGAAAGAGAGTGAAAACAAGAACCTTATAGAAATCGTAAGAAACGGAATTAGATATGGAATGAAGTGGTTAGGGTTTTGATCCTTATCAGAATATTGTACAGTGATACGCAGTAGAGACCTGTGGGCAATGATATTAGAAGTTGGAAGGGTTTTCACCTGAACTACTAATGAAGCAATAAATCACTCCCGAAGTTGCACTTAGAGTCCTAAATAAATATAAGACTTTGACGAGTGAGTTAGTTAGAGATTTAGCTTTAGCGTTACATATATAATGTACAGCTTACAATTGTTTAATAAAGCACACATAACTAGCCTGACAGAGGGTCATATTAAAAAAAGATAATAAATAAAAAAAATAAAAAAATAAAAAAAAATTGACCTTTAAAATTGTAAAATTTATTTAAAAAATTTTTAATAAAATATTAATTACAGTTGCGCAGAAATTATAAAAATGGTAGTACAGAACCCCCTGCATACATATAGCATAGTTTAAAAAGTTTCGCACTACAAAAAAAATTTTTTTAAAAAATGTCCAATTTTAGATTAACTTCTCAGCACCAAACAATCCTTCATTTTTGGAATCAGGGGATACGTTCGCTCAAGGAACTTCAAAAGCTTACCCATATTTCTTGCTCCATTATCAAATACAATATTCGAAAAATAAAAAAAACCGGCAATGTTACACATCTGAGGGAAATGGTCATCCAAAAAGATTGGATCAGCGAAAGCACATGTTTTTGGCTGTTACATCAATAAGAACAATTCTTTATCTTTGTGAACCTTGGTGATAAAATTATCCAAGGACGGAGAGTCCGTATCACACTTGACTGTAGGAAGGAAATTAAATAAGCTTGGTTATAAAAATGTTCTTCCGGTAGGCACCCCAATGCTCACAGACCTTCAAAAGGAAAGGTGGATTAAGTGGGCTAAAAAACATCTTAATGATCGTTGGAAACGAACTTTGTTTTCTGATGAAACAGCCTTTTCTTTATTTAGAAACACAATAAAATGATGGTATAAATATTACAGGCCTATTAGACCACTTTCCAAAGACCGACAAAGGATTTTAGCCTGGGGGATTTTGTGCTAAAGGCAAAACATCATTATTCTGCTTTACAAATATCATGAATGGCAAATTTTATGTTGAAATCTTGCGCAAACACTATCCAGAAGTTAGAAGAATGCTTGGTAGGCGATAGAGGTTTCAGCAGGACAATGATCCAAAGAACACGAGTAAAATCGCCAAAAAGTTTCTTGACAAGAACTTTTCTGAGACTATCGATTGGTTGACCAATAGCCCGGATCTCAACCCTATAGAAAATCTATGAAGTATTGTTAAGCATAGAGTAGAGAAGCGGTTATCTTCAAATATAACCGAACTAGAGCAGTTTATGGTTGAGGAATGGCAAAATATTCCTGCCGATACTTTAATCAATCTTATCGCATCAATGCAATGCCATTGTCAGCTTATCATTGATAACAATGGTGATCGAATTTCTTATTAATGTAATTAAAAAATTTTTTTCAATAAAATCTTTATTTTTAGCTTTAAAATAAGCTATTACATTTAAAATTAAGTTAAATATTTAATAAATTATTTTTTAAAAAAAAAGGACAAATTTTTTTGATACATACTGTATATTGTTTTTTTTTTTAAACCCGCAGTCAGGCCAGCATAATGTATTTATTAATCTTTAAGAAAACTACTAGAGATACATGGGATAATTATATATAAGTCTTGAGAGGTAGAACGATTTAATGAGTGGAGTGCTTTTTTTTTTTTTTATCACTGTTACTTTGTTGAACGCTGGACCAAAAACCATAGAAGTAGCGACTTTCACGACCACCCATTTTTTTACTCGTTACTCATAATTTCAATCATTACTTATTTAGAGAGTTTCTTAAACAATTGCGGCCGGTCTTTAATTACCGTAAAACATCGGCACGTCATTTTTACCAATTACTCGACTGCCACTTACCGTATATGTATCCTGTTGATGCATTATGTTTCCTAAAACATTGACATTATTTACTACAAATATATCTATTCTGAATAAACGGCACATGGTAATTCTGCGCATGGTGTGATATACTTTTATCTTTCTACACTATTTGCGGAAATTATGTATTTTATGATTATTGAATTGTATTCGCAACAGTTATTTAATTTAATTAACTTTCATTGATTTATTTTGGTTTGGTGGTTTATAATTATTCGATTTGTATAATAACCTACCGATATTTGGTTTATTTTATTTTAAAAAATTTCAGATTTTCGTTTTACTTCTCCAGTGAACTCCCTGTCACGTGTCCTGATCGTAACATTAACTTTGAACATGCGTACATGCAAAATGACACATTGTAAATACGTAGATAAATCAAAAATTGATATGATTTGTTATAATTAACGAGTCATATTCTGCAAAACTTACTGTTTGTACATAATTTCAAAAAAATAAAAATAAAAATGAAAAAAATCTTATTCAATTAAAGTATATTACAACTACGATATTAACATCACGATTTAAGTTATATATGTTTATTTTTGTAATTTGTCAAATATGTATTGCCATTCGCAAAGATTGATCAGCAATCGATGCGTGAAGTATTCAATATACATTATATTGTTAGCCGTAATAATTAGACACACATCATCTAATTGTCTTTGATGCCATAACTTTTGCCTATAGTAATCTTATTTATATATATTATCTATAGTAAACCTTATTTATTTAAATAAGAAAATGTCTTTGACGCCTTGAATTTTATCTATGGCAAACCTCATTCTTATAAATAAACGTAACCTTGCATCTAACATCAAATTATCCAAATCTTGTGTTTTTCGTATCATGACGATAGGATTAGCTTAGATTGGGCATATTTTTTAAACATAGATTAATAGAATTTTTAATTCTAATACGTAGGTGGGTTGATCATGACGAGATTTACAAAAATTCATCAAGGATGCCTCCTTTGAAATACGATTCATACAGATGCCTCTCCAATTCCTCGTCTATAACTCCTTGTTGGAAGGATCCTTCGGTAGGAAGAGGTTCATGTGGAGTACGCGGAATGAAGTTCTCGAAAAAGGCTTGATTCAATTCATGTTCTCGCCCCTTAATTCTTTCTCCGACCAGACACTTTAACAATTTTTCGTTTTTAACTCCTTGTTGGCTAGGCTCTGAGTAAGAAAGATGTTCTTGCGGGATATACGGAATGAATTTCCCGAAAAAGGCTTTAGACAGTTCACGTTCATGCTCCTTGATTCTTTTGCCGATTGTTGTCGCGACTTCTTCATATTCTTCACGGAACTTTCTGTCCTCATTATGCCATTGCCAGGCTGCCATCTTCGATACGCTGGACATACTCGGCTTATGGTTAAGCTTAGAGAGCTCCTTTGTGAATACGCGCCGATACACAAAGAATCCGTTTGGTGTTTTCGTGCCGATCCTCTCTTCAGAACGATTGATGAACTCTTTGATTATTATCTCATTGGCATTCGGCATCTGAATATATTTAGTAATGATTTTTGAATCGGCATTTTCCCTAGTTATTTTTTTGATCTTTTTTTTGCGATTTAAGGTCTTGTGTGTGTAATTTAAAGGAGGTTGAACTATAAAAGTATAATTCATGATTTTATTGTTAGAATTTTAGAAAACACGCTGAAGAGAGCTTCGGATCTTATATAAGAATTTCTCTTGGGGTTTAAAAAAAATAATTGTTTGACTTTTTAATATTAAGACCTCGAGAAATCGACAAATAAAAAAGGTGACAATCAAAGGATAAAAGATAATTGGTTTTCGGAAATCGAAAATGGATATGTTTTCTAATATTGTACTGTATTTCACAGATGTTTGCTCGGAAACTAGAATTAATATTAAATTAAAAATAAAGCAACATAAATTTATCTACTTTTTGAATAAAATTGCTCCGATGAACCGCCCCTCATATATTAAAAGAAACGATAGGTATTGTGTCGATTTACAATTCACCACAGTAAATCATTGTATTCTAGTAAAGAACAATTGTATCAGAAAGGTTACTAGAAAGAAAGACAAAAATTTTCAGAATTTATGCAAAAATTATTGCACCATAGTTATTGATTCTATCGAGAAATTATTTCTGAATCCGGATGACAATTAATGCATATCTTTTGGTTCTATCGAGCTGTAGAATCCGAATTCTCGCGCCAATCCCGTAACGAGCGCTTTTCGAGATATATTTATGACCATCCAGTACTGATATATGGGTAACGATTTTCGAAAGCGGGCAGTGCACTATAATTGTGATTCTAAAATTTACAGTGTGTACGCATTGTTCAAAAGTAGGGGTCAAAAAATAATATCTAGCATTTTTGTTGCCTTCCTTCAAAAATATAAAAAATAAATTTACAACTTTGTTTGTTTAACTTTTATGGTCTTCTGAGTTATTGAGTACACACGTAGGGATACTTATGTGAGTGTAATTCTAATATTAGATGAACGTTTATAGGTTTGTATTTACATTTCAATATTGTACCTTTATTATTAGCATCATTATTATTTGGAACAAAGGGGCATTTGTACGCTTAGACAAACTGTGTACCATTCAAACGTCATAATTTGTTCATTATTGTTCTTATGGACAGAATATTCTGGCATTAAGTATACATATCAAACTTCTAGATGTCATCAGTAGGGAATATGCGTAATGGTAAGGCACAATCGCCTGATCAGAATATTAATCCATTTTTGGGCTAGGGTTCAATAGTAAATTACAAAGCTAGACCGTAATAAGAAGAATATTTGGTTCGGATGACTGTACCGAATCTATAACCATGGAGGTATACCTATAATTGGAAAATCGTCAATAGCAAAAATATTCGTTCCACGGAGTGATCCCGATGTTGCACGTGGAACGTCACGTGTCACTTCTTTTTTATTTCTTTCGAATTCAACAAACATCCTCCAGCCAGCATGTAGAATTACTCTAATCCTAGTACTTCTTGAATTAAAAAGATTTTTCAGCTTAAAAGAAAAAGATAAATTAATTATTATAATTATTAATTTTATTAATTGAGGATAATATTGATTAATGGATTAATTAAGGATTAATTCAAATTGTAAGTAATCAAAATGTTATACTTTAAGATCTTTTGACAAACTTGTGTGTCATATTTATGTGGTAAAGGAAGAAAAAAGAAAGGAACGATTATAAAAATAATTATAATAAAGTGGAAGAAATTTTGTTGGATAAAAAATTAATAATTTAATCAACGACTGTTTCGTGTTCGTGTTAACATGATTCGGAGAAATGTCCGATATAAATACACATCCCACACCAATTATCAATGCGTATAAAGAAAAATTATCACTAATTTTATTTGTTATTATGGCTTTATACGACTGATTTTTATACTTCCTAAATTACTAATATTTTTGTTGATTTATTATTTTATGTATAAAAATGTTAAGTGATGCGTAATTAGCGATGATTAAAAAAAAAAAAAAAAAAAGATCTGTTAAATATTTGATGATTTTTCAAAACAGTCATTTGATTTTTATAAAGTTTGGCTCTCATAGGTAGGGAGCTAAAGATGATTTTTGTTCTAAAGATAGCTAAAGCTTTAAATTTATATTTGTTTATATTCCAGCAGTTCTTAGTTTAAACTGATTAACACGTTATTCTTACGGTGTAACCTAAATACCAATCATACTTGGTCAAAGAGATGACGTAATTGAACAACAATGTAATTCTTTCTACAAAAGAAAAAGAGTACTTATGAATTACCCAAGTATTTATCTAATATAAAGTACACAAACGAACTCTATATTTAGCTGACCATTATGGTATAAATAGTTACCCAATTATTAACAATAATTGAACCCAAACCTCATGAATAAGAAAACCGTCACCGATTTAAATAGTCTCGGAATATTCTCAAGAAAAATGTCAAGCTTTTAAATATTTACATATTAGCCTAATATACTTTATGTGCATTGTTTCTTGTACTTATTAAAGATTTTCTAGATACAGAAGATGCCTATTGTGTCCAAAAAAAAATTTTTTTTTTTAATGCGTAAGTAATATTACAATGGCTATTTTTTATAAAACAAATCTTACTACTGTACATGGGAAAATCGCGAAATGCATCATTAATCTGCTATTCTAATGCACCAAAATCTTTTCATATTAAAAATTGGTGAATGCAATATATCACGGACACATCTATTCTTTTCTTGTTGGTAGTGACGCCTGCATTTACCGTCGTAAATTAAATTTGTCCTAAAATATTAAGTAAATAATTGGTTCATTTTCGAAAGCAACATGAAGTCAGTCCATCCAATGGCAAATAAACAAATATTACGTTGTAAGTAAGAATTACAATATGCTGCATATAATTAATAATCTGAAATAAATGAGACGATGGATTTTATTAAAATATTGTATGCGTATACTGTATACGTTTATAATGTATATTCCAGATACTGTAAATTTTGTAATCGCAAAATTTTTCGATAATCTACCTTTACTTTAATAAACCAACAATCTTACGATTGTTCCTTTTGTTTGGAGTTTGAACGGTATAATTTGGTTTATAATGTAATTAAACCCTCTATGTATAGATCAGAACTCATTTTGTAAGTTTTGCAGAGTACGTAAATTTTACTAGGGTTCCTGTTGTTGTTGTTCTAGTTTATTCTTGTTATCCAATTGTCCTATGTGTGTTCTGTTGGAGTACAGGTGATTCCCTGTACCTTCAGCATACTTAAGATCTCATTTGTTAAATTTATTTTCCTTCTTGTCCGAAATAGTAGTCTATCTTTTAGTATTAATGTGCTGGTTCAGTGTTCATTCTGAAGTTGCTGAAGTCTGATCTGTGTGGTGATGCCACTCAGATCATAGCTGTTTAATCTGGGAAATAAGTTCTTGCATTGCATGAGTATCTGTCTATCCCACAAGTTGAAGAGTTTGTACTGAAGTCTGCATATAATATACAGTTTGGGGTAATTGAAGACAGACCGGCTTTGTGTTTGAATACCTTGTTTATTGTGCTATTTATCTTGTTACACTCTTTCTCAGACAAGACTAGATTCCTCAGTAGGTATTCTATTGCTAGGAACAGGGCATAGTTTATGATTTATCATACTTGTTTGTCTGTCACTTTCTTCCATGCTAAAATTCTGATAGTGGTATCCACTTTCTTTCTAATAATATTCTTTTGACAGGTCTTTTTCCCATCCTCTGATATTTATACTTCAAGGATTCTTGTGTCCTCATTTTGTTATAGAGGTTGTATTCAGTCTCTATTTAGCTTGATGCTTTCTATCCTACTCTATTTGCTAGTGTTGATGCAAATCAATAATAACTTGTTAATATTGATTTGGATGTCATTTATCCTGAGAAACTCTGATGCTTTATCTATAATATCCTGCATATCAGTTTGAGAGTTGCAAATCATATTGTGTCATTCATATATGCCATTGCTATAATTCTGACCATCTTTTTTATGATGATGCTTATTTTTTCTCAGCTTGGTACTATCAAGTTTAGGATGATGTCAGTTTCCATTTTGTATCCTTTGTGCTTGTCTTTGATTTCCTGTAAGAGTGGATTATAGAAGATTCTTCTTAGCAACAGTGATATGATATTCCTTTAGTTGATCCCATCATAGATAGAGCATTCCTCTGTGAGGTCATGTGCTCTTATTACTCTATTACTTCTGTAGCCTAGTATATTGTTCATGAATATAATAATATGTTCCAGTAGGTATATTTATCTAAAGGCTCTGATCATAATTAGTTTATTTATGGGGTCATATGCTTTATTGATATCTTAATTGAATATCTATGCCTCTTTCTTGTATTCTCTGGTTTTTTATATGACATTGTTCAAGATATAAATTGGTTCCTATGTACTTCCTCCTGGTAGTCTAACCCAGTTGTTCTTGCATAAAACTTTCTATTTAGTGCACATTTCTACTATTTTTATTATAAGGATTTCTATGAATATCTTTCTAGATATTTCAAGCAGGGTGATTGATTGTATTATATTTATATTTCCTGTCAGTTTTTATTTTTTGAAATTGAATATACATTTTCTCTTTTCCAGTCCCTTTTGATCTTATCTAATATCAGGATCTTATTGAAGAGGGTTTTCAGAATCTGTAGTCTTATTTCTCTCAGATGTTTAAATCCATTATAGGATATTTTGAATAGTTCTAGTATGCTTGACATCTTCTTTATATATATTGCATCTTTTGTTTCTATTATCTTAATTGAGTTTAATATTTTTGTAAACCATTCTGCTTAGATATTTTGTTTTGGATTGTATTGTTCCTTCCAGTATAGTAAGCCTTCTATGTCTAGGATTTGTCTTAATCTTCTCCACTACTAGAAGTGATCTCTTATTTTGTTTTTAATCTTTTCTGGCTTTGTTATAATTTCAATCTCATTTTCTTCTTTGCATTCTACTAATATTATGGTATCAATAAATCTAGCTTGCCTGTTCAAGATATTATTTATCA